AATAGCTTATTATTTCACCTGATGATTACACGCTCTAACAGTACCTGGGGGAGTAGGTTAGGTTAGGTTAGGTTAGCGTTAAGGTTGTTAGGTTGCTGGGGGGAGGGGAGGGGGTGCTCTAATCATAGTGATCCCCAAAATTATTGGGGATCGAACCAGAGTGCAAGACTTTCAGTAAGTGACAGGTCCTCGGTTATTAACCTACCTTACCTGAGCTGAGCTAACCTAACCTACCTTACCGTGGATGTCCAGGGTTTACCGAACTACTGCTTAGTGCTGCTAATAATTTTCACATCTTGTATTACTAAGGTAAATAAGGTAAACCCTCCCGGGCTAAGGTCCTTCTGGAGTCTCTTGGCTCAGAAGGAGCCAACCTTGTAACATCTTTTATTGCCATAGGTAAGTTATCACTAGCGTTCTTATCATTATTACTATTACTACTACTATTATTATTACTATTACTATTACTACTACTGTTATTATTACTGTTACTATTATTTTAAACAGTCATTGTTATTATTATAAATAAGTATTAACATTATGAACATGGAAGAGGTCGAGTGGCTGTTTGAGTTCTCAGGGCAGCGCATCACACCGCCCCCCCTCCTCTCCCCTCACCCCACGGTTATTTCTGGTCACCCATCTCGTGTAGCTTTACCACCTCGGTTTTAATTGAGTTTTTTATCAATAGCTTTTTAGATAACAAAGTCAACCGAGCTCCAGGTTAATGTATTTGTCACAAAAGACTTATTAATTGTCTTAACTTACAAAAAATTACCCCCACTTTTGTACTGTACACTTTATAAGGGGATTTCTTTCATGTTCTAATGCCTTACATAATTATATAAAGTTGATATAATAATAAAAATATCAGGAGGAAGGTGAGGTGTAGAGGGACTATACAGGACGACTGTCTCCATCTTCAACCTGTGAGGAGGAAACGATGGAGAAGAGAAGAGAAAGAAAGAGAGAAAAAAAAGATACATCAGACGATAACGAAAGACAAGGGTGAAAGTTCCGGCAGAGAATTCAGAAGGCGCTACAAGACGCGTATATTAATAGAGCTACACTTAGCGACTTGGTTATACACTAATTAAAACAGAAATGAGAAAAGTCTCCAACTAGTTTAGAGTTTTCTTAACAGATTGGTTTGCGTAGAAACTTTGATGACAGTAGGTATTATTGGAAGCTTGTCATGTTTATTGTCATCTGTGGGGAGTTACAGATATACAAACGAGAGAGGGGGGAGGTGCAGCGAGAGAGGAGGGAGGGGGAGGTACAGCGAGAGAGGAGGGAGGGGGGGGAGGTGGGGAAGTGAGACAGGAGGGAGAGGGGAGGTATAGGGAGAGGAGGGAGGAGGGAGGGGCAGGAAGGAGAGAGGAGGGGGGGGGAAGGTATAGCGAGAGAGGAGGGGGGAGGTGAAAGAGAAGAAAGGAGGAGGGGAGGTACAGGAGAGAGGAGGGAGGGGAGGGGAAGGAGAGAGAGGAGGAGGGGAGAAGAGAGAGAGGGAGGGGGAAGGAGGGAGAGAGGAGGGAGGGGAAGGTATAGGGAGAGGAGGGAGGGGGAAGGTAGGGGGAAGGGAAGGGAGAGAGGAGGGAGGGGAGGGAGAAAGGAGAGAGGAGGGAGGGGGAGGAGGGAGAGAAGAGGGAGGGGGAGGGGCATGAGAGAGGAGGGAGGGGGGAGGTGGGAGCGAGAGAAGAGGGGAGGGAGGAGGGGGGTTAGGGAGAGAGAGAGAGGTGGGGAGGGGGAGGTATGAAGTGAAGGAGGAGGGAGAGGGGAGGTAGGTAGGAAGGAGGAGGGAGAGGAGGAGGGGAGGGGGGGGGAGGAAGGAGAGAAGAGAGGGAGGGGGGAGGAGAAGGGAGAAGGAGGGGAGGGGGGAGGGTAGGAGAGAGGAGGGAGGGGAGGGGAGAAGGGAGAAGAGGGGAGGGGGAGGGAGAAGAGAGGAGGGAGGGGAGGTAGGGAGAAGAGGGGAGGGAGGAGAGGGAGAGAGGAGGGAGGGGAGGAGGAGGGAGAGAGGAGGGAGAGGGAAGGAGGGGAGAGGGAGGAGGTGGAGAGAGGAGGAGAGAGGGAGGGGAGGAGAAGGAGAGAGGAGGGAGGGGGGAGGTGGAAAGGAAAGAGGAGGGGGAGGGGGAGGGAGAAGGAGAGAGGAGGGAGGGGGAGGGGAAGGAGAGAGGGAGAGGGGAAGGGGAAGGGAGAGAGGCATAGGAGAGAGGAGAGGGAGAAGGAGAAGAGAGAGAGGAGGGGAGGGGAGGAGAGAAGAGGAGGGAGGGGGGGGGGAGGAGTAGAGAGAGGAGGAGGGAGGGGAGGGAGAGAGGGAGGGGGAAGGAGGAGGGGGAGGGAGGGAGGAGGGAAGGTGGAGTGAGGAGGAGAGGGAGGGGAAGGTAGAAGGTGAGAGAGGGAGAGGAGAGAGAGGGAGGAAGGAGGGGAGGAGTGAGAGGGAGGAGGGAGGGGGAGGAAGGAGAGAGAGGGAGGGGAGGTAGAAGGAGAGAGGAGGGAGGGGAAGGGGGGAGAAGAGAGAGGGAGGGGAGGGGAGGAAGGAGAGAGGAGGGGAGGGGGGGGAGAAGAGAGGAGGAGGGAGGGGAGGAAGGAGAGAGGAGGAGGGGGGGGAGGAGGAGAGGAGGAGGAGGCAAAGGAGGGGAGGGAGGGGAGGAGAGAGGGAGGGAGGAAAAGGAGGAGAGGGAGGAGAGGAGGAGGAGGAGGAGAGAGGAGGGAGGGGGAAGGTGGAGAAGGAGAGAGGAGGGAGGGGGAGGGGAGGGAGGGGAGGTAGGGAAGGGAGAGAGGAGGGAGGTGGAGGAGGGAGAGAGAGAGGGGAGGGAGGGGGAAGGAGGAGAGAGGGAGGGGAGGGGAGAAAGGAGAGAGGAGGGAGGGGGGTAGAAAGAGAGAGGAGGGAGGAGGAGGGAGGGGAAGGAGAAGGAGAGAGGAGGGAGGGGAGGTAGAAGGAGGAGAGGAGGGAGGGGAGAAGGATAGGAAGGAGGAGAGGAGGGAGGGAGGAGGAGTGAGAGGGAGTGGGGGCAGAGAAGGAGAGAGGAGGGAGGGGAGAGAAGAAGGAGAGGAGGGAGGGGAGGTATAGAGAGAGGGAGGGAGGGGGAAGGGTAGAAAGGAGAGAGGAGGAGGGGAGGAGGGAAGGGGAGAGGAGGGAGGGGAGGAGGGAAGGAGAGAGGAGAGGAGGGGAGGGAAGAGAGGGAGGGGGGAGGGGAAGAGAGAGGAGGGAGGGGAGGGACAAAGGGGAGAGAGGAGGGAGGGGAGGGGAGAAGGGAAGGAGAGAGAGGGAGGGGAGGTGGAGAAGGGGAGGAGGGAGGAGGGGAGGTAGAAGGGAGAGAGAGAGGAGGGGGGGAGGAGAAGGAGAGAGGGGGAGGGGGAAGGGAAGGAGGGAGGTGGAGGAGGGGAGGGGGAGGTGGGAGGGGAGAGAGGAGGGAGGGAGGGAGGGGGAGAGGAAGGAGAGAGGAGGAGGGGAGGGGAAGGGAGAGAGAGAGGAGGGGAGGGAGAGAGGAGGGAGAGGAGAGGGAGGGGAGGTAGCAAGGAGAGAGGAGGGAGGCGGAAGGGAAGGGAGAGGAGGGAGGGGGAAGGTAAAGGAGAGAGAGGAGGGGAGGGGAGAAGGAGAAAGAGAGGGAGGGAGGCGGGAAGGAGAGAGGAGGGAGGGGAAGGTAGTGAAGAGGAAGAGGAGGGAGGGGAGGAGGAGAGAGAGGGGGAGGGGGAGGGGAGAAGGGGAGAGAGGAGGGGAGGGGAGGGGAAGGGAGAGAGGAGGGAGGGGGGGGGAAGGAGAGAGGAGGGAGGGGGGAGGTAGAAGAGAGGAGGAGGAGGGGGGAGGAGAAGGAGAGAGGGGAGGGAGGGGAGGGGAGAGGAGGAGGAGGGAGGAGGGAGAGAGGGAGGGAGGGGGAGGTGAGAAGGGAGAGAGGAGGGAGGTGGGAAGGTAAGGAGAGGAGGGAGGGGAGGTATAGGAGGAGGAGGGGAGGAAGGAGAGGGAGGGGAGGGAGGGTGGAGAAGGAGAGAGAGGGAGGGGAGGTAAGGAGAGAGGAGGAGGGGGAGGTAAGGGAGGAGGGAGGGAGGGAAGGAGAAAGAGAGGTGGAGGGGGGGAGGTATAGAGAGGTGGGAGGGAGGTAGTAGAGGGGAGAGATGAATGGCTGAGTTATTTATCACACACACACACACGCGCACAACACACACACGTCCACGCACACACACACACGTCCACGCACACGTACAAACACACACACACACACACGTACACGCACATACACACACACATACACACACACACGTACACACACACACACACACACACACACACACACACACACACACACACACACACACACACAGCATCACAAGAGGCCTGTCATGGAACGATGGTAGGAGTGTTGTCCCTCAAGCCTATACTATGCGCTCCTTGGTAATAAACCATAATGCAGTAGTGTCGTATGTTACAGCAGAACCCCTCGCTTGCTGTGTTTCACCAGAATATGTTTAACTTATAGATCAGCCTATCCATTGAGTACTCGTGTGTCGCCCTCAGGGAAGAGCGACCACCTGACAGACCTTGCGGTGCACACCTGCCTCAGTAGAACATGTCTACCTGAGCAATTCATACACGACGCTGTTCATCCTTTTAGTGTTATAAACGTACCTCTGATATATAGATCCAATTCCCCCCTTTCAGCCGAACAAATAAACGTTTCATCTCCCGTTTCCAAAATCTCATTGACTGTTAAGTGTATTTCATCTCACTTAATATCATAATTCTACACTTAAGTTCTACATCTCCAGAATAAGTTGTTCTAATCCTCTGGTAACTATCGTGTTCAGGAGACTTAAGTCTGCATGTCATTTTAAACTTCTCCAAGTTTCCGACTGATATGATACGCTACACACCTGTGTATTAAAGCTTAATTCCTAGGTATACGGCGAATAACTGGGCATTAAGCTATAATGTTCTTTCTAAGTATATATTTGTGGTCGTCCTCAAGCTGCGCAACTTTCTCAGCAAATCATTTCTCTTGCAGGGCATCCTCGCTCATCCTGAGGCACCACGTCGGTAACAAGATATTGGACGTCTCACCGACTACAAACAACCACCATCTTCTCATCGTCTACTGCCAGAAAGTGCACGAAACCTTGAGAACCAAAGCTTCCAGTTACCCCTAGGAACTAGTCTCTTAAGGACCCTAAAACATACATAATTTCCAGACGCTCAGGATGGTGGTCTCTCAACAGTAGTTAAGAAAATGGAAAAACAGGTCTCTTAATTGATCGCCTGACACACACACACACACACACACACACACACACACATCCCCCAAAAAGTAAATTTACACCATCCACTATCCTTTACCAACATCACTCTCTACTAACACCAAGTCCTCACCTCTGCCACCAGTAACACAGTAAATCGTTCCACCAAGATGCCTCTGGACCTACGCCTCTTCCACGCAGGGGTGAGCGACATGAAGAACAAATTCGACAAGAAGATCGAGGAACACAAGCAAGCTCAGCTGGAGAACCCCTTCAGCGAGTGGGAGGGCGCCGGCCGTACCAGGAGACTCTCTAAGGAAGACATAGGATATGGCAAGTACGTACTGTACGTCGTCGGGTGAGACAGGTCCGTCGTCACCTCTCCACTGCCTTGACGGGGTTTTCAAAATGGTGGTTTCCATAAGAACTGATATTTTCTTTTTGATGGATAGACTTACGTGAAAAATACAGTGCAAAAATCTCTCCCTCTCTCATGCACGATAATTTTGTTGCCAGTGAAAAAATTCTACCTTTCAGCCAAATGCTAGAGTTTTAATTCCAATACGCGCGTCCTTTCTTGTTAAAACAAGTTGGGTCCGGGACGCAAAACTCTACGGTTGTTCAGAGCCATGTTTACTCACATCAGCCCTGTTTACTCACATCAGCCATGTTTACTCACATCAGCCCTGTTTACTCACATCAGCCATGTTTACTCACATCAGCCATGTTTACTCACATCAGCCATGTTTACTCACTTCAGCCATGTTTACTCACATCAGCCATGTTTACTTACAGCAACCATGTTTACTTACATCAGCCCTGTTTACTCACATCAGCCCTGTTTACTCACATCAGCCCTGTTTACTCACATCAGCCATGTTTACTCACATCAGCCATGTTTACCCACATCAGCCGTTTACTCACATCAGCCATGTTTACTCACATGAGCCCTGTTTACTCACATCAGCCATGTTTACTCACATCAACCATGTTTACTCACATCAGCCATGTTTACTCATCCATCAGTTTTACTCACATCAGCCACTCACCCTGTTTACTCACATCAGCCATGTTTACTCACATCAGCCATGCTTCAGCCACTCACATCAGCCATTTACTACCATCACATCAGCCATGTTTACTCACATCAGCCATGTTTACTCACATCAGCCATGTTTACTTACTCACATCAGCCATGTTTACTCACATCAGCCATGCTTACTCACATCAGCCATATTTACTCACTTCAGCCATCTTTACTCACATCAGCCATGTTTACTCACATCAGCCATGTTTACTCACATCAGCCATGCTTACTCACATCAGCCATATTTACTCACTTCAGCCATCTTTACTCACATCAGCCATGTTTACTCACATCAGCCATGTTTACTTACATCAGCCATGTTTACTTACAGCAACCATGTTTACTTACATCAGCCCTGTTTACTTACATCAGCCCTGTTTACTCACATCAGCCCTGTTTACTCACATCAGCCCTGTTTACTCACATCAGCCATGTTTACTTACATCAGCCATGTTTACTTACAGCAACCATGTTTACTCACATCAGCCCTGTTACTCACATCAGCCATGCTTACTCACTGTTTACTCACATCAGCCATGTTACTCACATCACATCAGCCCTGTTTACTCACATCAGCCATGTTTACTCACATCAGCCACTCACATCAGCCATGTTTACTCACACCAGCCCTGTTTACTCACATCAGCCATGTTTACTCACATCAGCCATGTTTACTCACATCAGCCCTGTTTACTCACATCAGCCATGTTTACTCACATGAGCCCTGTTTACTCACATCAGCCATGTTTACTCACATCAGCCATGTTTACTCAAACAGCCCTGTTTACTCACATCAGCCATGTTTACTCACATCAGCAATGTTTACTTACAGCAACCATGTTTACTCACATCAGCCATGTTTACTCACATCAGCCATGTTTACTCACATCAGCCATGTTTACTCACATCAGTCATATTTACTCACATCAGCCAACAAGAGAATGGATCAAATTATTAGACTATTAGAGGGTCATGTGATTAACTAGCGTTCACTACAAACCCTAATACCTATGGAGTTTTCTAGTGATGCAACGGGCTCCTAAGTCATGTTATTTACCTATGTTCTCATGGGGAAGTGTGCCGCTTTATGTCACCAAGTCTACAATGATAACAATTAACAATCAACATTTCGAGCTTACCTAAGTTGTTATTAACTCCAACATAACGACAATTAGGAAACGTCTTTGAAGGAAATATTGTAATTATTGATATTTCGAACGTGGCGTGACATAGGAGCCTTTGGGAGGTAGTATTGAGCCTTAGTAGACCCCCCCCCCCAGGCAAGTGTACTGTCTTAAATGGTTCTCATTGACGATGTATAATCTGTGAGTTAAGTTCATCGTAATTCCATAAAGTCTCTAGTAATCTCAGTGTGGTGTACCTTACAACTTAACTACGTCCTGCTGATGTAGAGACTTTTTTCTGCCTTGACACTGTAGGTTCGAGTTAATTTCACGCACGCACGCACGCACGCACGCACCACACACACACACACACACACACCAACTAATGACCATAAAGCTTCGTGTTACCTGTCTTTGTGATCATATTTAATTTATAGTTGACCATCACGATTCATCTTACTTGGTAAACACTGGACTCTATAGGGCTAGTTACTGTAACGCAGCCAATCCCGTAAACAAGTGAATTACAATAGAATACGCAGCACGATAGATGGAACACACTACTGTACAATATTTCCAGACGCGAATATTAAGACTCATTGAGAGCCAAGTCGTGTAGCAGCTAGGGTAGTCACCAAGACTCCTGATAAATCACCCACCCTGCATCACCTTTCTTCCCCTAAAATATATATATAATGCTATGCTCTGGTTCTTTTGTGACGGAAGTTATGTACACAATTTAAGACCTCAAAGCATTTTTTTTTTCATACACAAACTTTTTGCATCCAGGTTTTAAGTATCTTTTACTAAGTTAATATAGACATCAGTAGAGTTTCTGTCTCCTGATGACCGTGCTAGATTCAAGTGGTGTTTATCCAGTTATCAAATAAAGCATCACATTAGCTCTTAATCTAACACTTCTTGCTATATAATTCCCAGACAGGTTTATTTGTGATTATTTTGTATCAATTTCCCTTTGAATGTTTTCCTTTACTGGCCTGTTTACATCTGAGTATTAGTGTTGGTAGCGTGTATGTATGTGTGTGTGTGTTACAGGCCGTTGCCGGGTAGTAAGTCAGAGCTGAGGAGCCAGGCAGCACAAGCTCACATTATGATGGACATCCGCTACCTGTGTGACATGATCTGGGACTGTTCCGAGTGGCGCAGTCCAGATGGCAGGGCAGCCATCACCTTCGGCAAACTTTTTAAGGTACAAACTTCCGGATTTTTCAAAATGTTAAATAAATTGCGCATTCGAGTCGTAAAATTCATCTAGAAAATATCTAATGTAGGTGTATAAAAGATGCCATACAGCAACAACAACATACAGCAGCAGCTGAGAGTAGACACGTTAATTACAGAAGCTACATCAATCAATATTATAGCGCAGTCAAACACACCGAGTACAGTATATAAACAGATCTACAGATTGGTCTTATAATCCCGTCGTGTCCTTCACCGACACATTTTAATCATCACTAACCGTTTTACAGGCTGCCCCCAACTCATCGTTTCATTCTACCTATCTCTCACCCCTCACTTTGACTTCCCCCTCACCTCCTTTCTCTCATTTTATCTGTTCTTATGTCAACATAAGATCATAAGAATGGAGGAAACTGCAGCGGGCCTATTGAGACATACTGCACAGTCCCGTTTGCACCCAACCCCTATCGCTCATATATCTATCCAACCTATGTTTGCAGCTTATCAATTACAAAAAATAAGTAAACGGTCTCAATCTCATTCTTATTCCAAGTCTCTCTCTCTCTCTCTCTCTCTCTCTCTCTCTCTCTCTCTCTCTCTCTCTCTCTCTCTCTCTCTCTCCCCCAGTCAGTCAAGGATAGAGTCAGTCTCCCAGGCAGTCAGTTATTCACTTAATCATTCAGTCCTTCATTTTAGGTCATAAGTGGCTGGTATGTCTGCTTATAGAATATACAGTACAATGTGTTGATTTATCCTTCATATACCTCATCTTCCAAGGAAGCTCTTTAAATCCACTGTGTATATTATGTAATGATATTTCCAATTTGAGTGCATGTTTTTTTTTATTTAACATGTCACCATTACTTGATATTAAGTGTTATTTTACCTTGTCTATTTTTTCCTAAACATAAAATGTCAGTTTTGCCAAACTTAAGTTGAGTTTCTTTTAAGTTATAATGTCACCCATCATTTTACTGAAAAGTCTATCTTTTCTGTAATACTCCGCAATAACACAGAATTTTTCCCTTCCTACACTTTGACCTCTGACCTTTCCTTCAATTGCGAACTCCGACCCCTACTTGACCTATGGTCTCTGACCTCCACTTTTATATATGACTCCTCACTCATCTGACCTATGAACCCTGAACCATACCTGTCTCTTTTTTACCCCACCATAAAACGACTAATGACCCCTAATCTTTTAATGACATTTGGTTGTATGATTTCCTGGTGTGTGACGTATGAACCTCCTGACGTGTGATCTGTTACTCCACCCCCTCCCCCCATCTCCCTCTTTCCATGCAGTTGTATATCGCCATCTCGGACAAGGTGGTTGGCACCCTCCTGAGGGCCAGAAAACACCGCTTCGTCCAGTTTGAAGGAGAGATGCTCTACCAGGTAAAGTAATTTGTTTTCCGTTTCTTTCTAATTAACCTGTATTAATTAATGGTTTGTAGCACTTGGCTCAATATCAGCTAAATATTATCTCTGTCTATCGGTGTGCGCACTCTATTGACCCTCATAAGCGTCACAACAGACATTACCTGAGACATTGAGTATAAACAGTAAACAGCTGATTTTAGTCTCCCAGGTAACCTATATTTCTTATTTGTAAACATACTGTAGAAGGTACTGTAGTAACTGATTCTACACATGTCTTAAAGCATCGGTTTTGAAAAACAACAAAACCCTTATAAAGATCTTCTCTACTTATGTTTGTACTGATTTTGAGTCTACAGTGATGGTCATGGTCAATAAATATAATTACGCCCATGACGTACGAGAGCCAGGGTGGGGGCAGTGACTGTACCTGTAGTCATAACGAGTCTTTGTGGTTCCTGGCCAGAGTGTGGGATTATACACCTGGCTGTCTTAAGTGAGTCCTGGCAGGTGTGTGGGATTATATACCTGCTTTCATGTATAGAGAAATAAACAAGCATCTGGCCATTGCTCTCACCATAACTTCCGTCTTTCATGAAGAATTAACAACACATTAACAGCTGTCAACACCATCAAACACACTGGGGGACTCATTTCTTTCCTTAACCAAATACAAGAGAACGCACGCACGCACGCACGCACACACGCACACACGCACACACACTATAGCTACAGTGTAAAGATCACGGGAAGGAGGGAGGGAGGGAGAGGCGCTGGCTAAGCAAAGGTCATCGGTGTGACGGGTGAGCGGCACCGTTGCCATCGTGGCACACTCTGGCACTTCCAGGAACTCCGCGTGGGCGTGGAGGGGGCGGGCACTCATTCACCGGAGAGAGGGAGGAAGGGATGGGGAAGGGGAGTCATGTCATTCATAACAGTTGTCCCAATCATCAGGTCATGTCTGTTATGTCTGTTACGGAAGCCATCTCTCAATAGCTATGTTCTCAGTCATGTCATTCATTAAGTACTGTATCTCAAGCCATGTTATTCACAGACAGAGAAGTTGGCGTCATCTCATTTCACAGTGGGAGTGGGAAGGTTATGTCCCTCAGAGGAGGGTGGGGAGGTCATGTCACTCAAGAGGAGGGTGGGGAGGTCATGTTACACAGAGGAGGGTGGGATGTCATGTCACTTAGAGGAGGGTGGGGAGGTCATGTCACTCAAGAGGAGGGTGGGGAGGTCATGTTACACAGAGGAGGGTGGGATGTCATGTCACTTAGAGGAGGGTGGGGAGGTCATGTCACTCAAGAGGAGGGTGTGGAAGGTCATGTCACCAAGGAGGACGGAGAGGTTATGTCACTCAGAAGGGAGGGTGGGGAGGTCATGTCACTCAAAGGAGGGTAGGATGTTATGTCACTCAGAGGAGGGTGGAGAGGTCATGTCACTCAGAGGATGGTTGGAGATCATGTTACTCAAGAGAAGGGCAGGAAGGTCATGTCATTCAGAAGATGGTTGGAGGTCATGTCACTCAGAGGATGGTTGGAGGTCATGTCATTCAGAGGAGGGTGGGAGGTCATGTTACTTAGAGGAAGGTGGAAGGTCATGTCACTCAAGAGGAGGGTGGGAAGGTCATGTCACTCAGAGGATGGTTGAAGGTCACAACCCGATGTATCAGTAGACGGTCGTGTCTTATATCGAACAAAGAGACAATACAGGAGAGTTAAAGAGTCTTCATGTCGGTCATCAGAGTATTCATGTCGGTCATCAGAGTATTCATGTCGGTCATCAGAGTATTCATGTCGGTCATCAGAGTATTCATGTCGGTCATCAGAGTATTCATGTCGGTCATCAAAGTATTCATGTCGGTCATCAGATCATGTCGGTCATCAGAGTATTCATATCGGTCAGTTCATGTCGGTCATCATCATGTCGGTCATCAGAGTATTCATGTCAGTCATCAGAGTATTCATGTCGGTCATCAGAGTATTCTGTCGGTCATCAGAGTCTTCATGTCAGTCATCAGAGTATTCATGTCGGTCATGTCATCAGAGTATTCATGTCAGTCATCAGAGTATTCATGTCGGTCATCGGTCATCAGTATTCATCGGTCATCAAGTATTCATGTTGGTCATCAGAGTATTCATGTCGGTCACCAAAGTATTCATGTCGGTCATCAGAGTATTCATGTCGGTCATCAGAGTATTCATGTCGGTCATCAGAGTATTCATGTCGGTCATCAGAGTATTCATGTCGGTCATCAGAGTATTCATGTCGGTCATCGGAGTATTCATGTTGGTCATCAGAGTATTCATGTCGGTCATCAAAACAGTCATGTCTCTCATCAGTGAGGTGAGGAGTACAGCCTCACTAACACGGTACAAGTTATGTGTAATTCAAACCATAATAATAAAGACTTTAGTTATCTTATGCGTGCTGTTACATGGGGAAACTTAATCCTGACATACCACTACAGGTCCTATTTTCCTTAGGACAATTTCTAGCTCAAACACGTTTAATACTGGTATATAGATTATACAGCATCCAACGGTATAATACTGATATAGCCTCAAATATATATATATATATATATATATATATATATATATATATATATATATATATATATATATATATATATATATATATATATATACTACCGAGAACCTATACTGTATATGCACCACCACTGTACATACTGTATATCAGTCCAATCTACAGAACGGAACGGAGTAACTCAGGAGGGCAGTGAATCTAACAACGCCTTCATGTTTCCTTATATTTCAGGGTCACCTTTGAGTAACTCTGGACCAATGTTATTTCTTAACAATGCCTAGCAAGAGATTTTAAATTATACATGTTTAATATATGGGGCACATGCTATATATATATTATGCATATGCTAGGTTTTTATAAGACGGGAGTAGGAGAGTTATGAAGACGGTTTTGAGTGTGGAATAAATATTAAAACTCAGGATCATTTAGTATACCGTGGTGGGATGTTCGTCTCAAGCAACACGTAAGAACAACAGTGAGCTATTTAAAGGAAATCAGCCGTAAGCAAGTGGGTACCAGACACGTACTATAGGTGGGTGCCAGACACGTACTATAGGTGGGTACCAGACACGTACTATAGGTGGGTGCCAGACACGTACTATAGGTGGGTGCCAGACACGTACTATAGGTGGGTGCCAGACACGTACTATAGGTGGGTGCCAGACACGTACTATAGGTGGGTGCCAGACACGTACTATAGGTGGGTGCCAGACACGGTACACACGGTGGGGAGAGACACGCACTATATAGGTGGGTGCCAGACACGTACTATAGGTGGGTGCCAGACACGTACTATAGGTGGGTGCCAGACACGTACTATAGGTGGGTGCCAGACACGTACTATAGGTGGGTGCCAGACACGTACTATACGTGGGTGCCAGACATGCACTATAGGTGGGTGCCACGATGAACACAATTACTCAACGTTTTTTTTTTTAGAAATATTAGGATGTGTAATGCAATGAGATTATTTCCTTTTGAGAGCACTGAGAGGCAGCTGTGGTACACATTAGACTGTATTGCGTCCCATGCTTTTGTACTCTGGCTATGACCTGAATTATGCTGGCCATCACTAGGCGTAGCGCGGCAGCAGCTGGTATTGTAACAACACAATGACGTGGACGTCAAGCTATCACCTGTGTTAGTAATTAATCACCTTGTTAAAATCGCCTCAGCTCATTACAGTAAAGCTAACTTCATTCACTGATTTTACTGACCATTTATTTTCATAATTTACGTTATAAAAGTCAGACTAATTAATCAATAACAGATGCCTTAGAATGATGATGTCACGCTGTGTGGGAGAACATGATGTACGTAGTAATTTTTATTTACTTATTTATTTATTTATTTATTTATTTTATTTTTTATTTTTTTTTACTAAAAAGAAATGATAATTTCAATATCTAGGGGTGCGGTCGAGTGGATACTGAGCTCGTGTCTTGTCCTTAGAATCATTGGCTCGTTTCCAGGGCACCTTACAGTCCACCCAGCTGTGAAGGGGTACCTAACTTTACAGTGAAGACGCTCGAGTACAGTGTCGACTGCACTACCACCTAGTGTACATAACAATGGTTTACTCGTAGTCTACATAGCCATATTTCTCTGTCTCTAATTGGCCTGAAGGACTACGGGATCCACGTTCACTTCTTAATAACTTGTATGGCGGCTAGAAAAAACCATTGTCAACGAATGGGTAGGTGTGTGTTGATATTGATCCCTGTCTCGCCGCGATATGAAAATCTACGGCCAACAGAAATCTATTTGAACCTGATTCGCGTGTCCGAATCATGAGAATTAAAAAAAAAATGTACCTCATAGCGAACCAAAGCAAGGTGTTTTTACATTAAAAGGATTAGTATAGCCTCCAATCAACGACTCCACTAAAGGGTCATATATTCGATAAATTCCAGTGTCCCACCATTCCTTTGTCAGAAGGGCACACTGCCACACTTTATTACACGTGGCTTCAGGGGGAGGAAAGGTGAGCCACAAATACAGAACCTCCGAAAAATTCTGTCTTAAAATCCTGGGCCAACAGGTAAAGCCAGAAAGGCGAGGTGTCGGAGGTGACGACGCTAAGACCCTCCTCTTCCTCCCCCTCCTCCACCTGCAGGGTCTCCTCCCCTCCTACACCATCTGCAGGGATCTCCTCCCTCCCCCTGCACCACCTTCAGGGGTCAGGGGTCTCTTCCCTCCCCCAGCACCATTTGCAGGGGTCTCCTCCCTCACCCTGAACCATCTGCAGGGGTCTCCTCCCTCCCCAGCACCATCTGCAGGGGTCGTTTTTAAAAGGTTTGATACTAGGGGGAGTCACCACCTTATAGCATCACCAACTAATTCACCTCCACCTGGGGGTATCACCTCCCAAAGGTTACGGGCAGGAAGAGATGGTGCATGAAGGTGTTGGTGTTGGTGATCGTAGTGACCTCTCCCTCCCCCCGGCGACGTGTGGGAGTTGTGCG